CGCCCAGCACCCTAGAAAGTTTCTTTAAAAAAAATAAAGTCTCTAGTTCCCCCAAGCACTGTACCCGTTACTGTAGCTGCTGTCTCTCCCTCTTCTAATTATACCCATGTGAGTCTATTAATCAACTTGTAAATTATTTAGAGAGCCATGCGCTGTCTTCAGCCAGTACAAACACACTGCATGCAAAGACTCGCTGAAAACCAATGGAGCTCCCAAAGGGTCTCTCCAATGTTCAGACAGCTCACAGCTCGCCAGTACAGCTCTTAAAAACACGGAATAACACTCAGCTTTACCTCCTCAGATATAAAGATTTACTCAGCCTTTCAACTCTGAAGCTCCTTGCAAGTTTTTAACAAAGAGGAAGCGGCTCTATTGTCAGAGCTGTGTTTCACACTTAGTGATGAGAATATTAATTTCCTGTCAGAAAAATGAAATAAAATAAAAAAAAAAATAAAAACAGCCTGAGTGTTTTCGGTGAGGCTGTGATCACAATCACCAGGGGACCCCAACTTTCAGAGGCTACACCAAAAAAGCACCCCTTTAAAACCATTCCAATTTAAAATACGGGGAAAAGAAATCTATATTTGTACAGTAATAGTTTTTATTAGGAAAAAAAGGAGAAATTAGGGAATTCCAGATTTTACCCTCTACGTGCAGACTGCCATTGGGGACAGCTTCAGATATTACTGCTTGAAAAAACAGAAAAAGGAAGGGGGAAAAAAACAACACAGATTGTGTGTGTTCAACTCTAACAGGCTGCAAACGGTGCAGTGTTATCTGTCTTCCATGAATCAGCTCTCTTACCACCTGAATCTTCATTTTGGTGGAAAAAACCCACCCAATTACCCAAACTAATAGCAGTTCTCCCAGCTGAAAAGCAGAATTTTACTGGTTTGGGAGTGAGGATCTTTTCCCTCCCTGCTCTTTTCATGGTGTTTTCCAGTCACCTCACTATTCTTGGCTCCATTTATTGCTGCCTCACAAACAGATATATTAATTAGCAGTGATCAGTCCACACTATATCACCCTGAAAACTGGACAGAATGACATACAAATTTCAACTGACTGATGACCTTCCCTATTTTTGTGATTTTTTTTCATTAATAAGATGCAAACATCTCAAGGGGCAAACACCAGGGACATTTTGGGGTGGGGGGAAGCAAAAATGCTTTCTGCAATTTTTTTTTTTTCTCCCAGAGCATCAGATTCTGACAGGCACCTTTAAAATGGTGAACATAGATCCTGTAGATGGAGGATAATTTAATTTTTAAGTTAATGTGTGCCCATCTTTTCAGTGAGGCAGGTCCAGAAGTCAGTCTAGCCCTTCTCAGAACTGCAGGGACAAGAATTCTGCATAAAGGTCTTCTTCAAGCCTGTGGGGTCTAGGAGGGGTCTATCTACATCATCTGTCCAGGGAAGGACCAGTCTTCCAGAACATTTCAGAAGGAATCAAACCAAATAAATGAATTTATGGAGCTGTCTGCTGCCTGTGGGAGGGTTCTGGCCACTACACTCACCTCTTACTCCAAATGAAAGTCTCCCCAGGCTGCCCAAGCAAATGGCATGAGCTAAATTTAGCATTATTGACCAAGATTTAATCTAACTGGAGTCAGTGAGCAGAAGACTGGTCTCAGACTCCAATGCTGGTAATTTTCTGCCCAGAGTATAGTTACTAATAATTGCCCAGTATTCAGTGAAACCACAATATCCTAAAGGAACAGTCTGTGCATTTCAGACTGGTTGTCCAAAGCACAATTCCATGTTTATGAGAGACAGAAAGCTGTCAGGTTGCTGAACTTATCACCAAAAATGCATTTTTCAATATCTAGTGTGCACCTACTGGACTAGTATGTCCTGGGAATTAAAAAATTAATGGGCTCAAAAATATCTATGCTGCCTTCATTAAGCAAAATAAATCCCCGTACACAAAATTGAGGAAGTTTGATAAAGCAGGTCTTTATGAGACAGCAAACACTAGAAAATACAGAAAATGGGAATGCACTGGTTGCCTTCTGGGGTGAATAATAGAATTGTCTGGGCTGTTCCTGAAATACATGATGAATACCTGAGGAAGCAGTCCAGGAAAAACAGCACAAAGGATGTTTGTGAATCCTGAACCCATGAAGAGATGTGAGTTAGTCAAGCTGAACTAGAACAGCACAGACAGTGGAGAGCCTCAATAACTCAATACCGAGTTAGCTTTGAATAAGCTGGGGTTTGAGCCTTGTTATGACACCACAACATGCCCTGTTGGCATCTCTTAAATGACTAATTGAATGCCATCATTTGTGTCCACGAGAAGGGAAGCACACTGAGATCAGTCCCCTGGGTGAGCATTTTAAGAATATATGAGGCACATCCTCAAGATTTCATGGCACGAGTTTCCTTTTGCCCAGTAATGATTTGAGTGCAACGTTTCTCATGGTCTGCCTTTGGTTCCACTGTTCTGTGACAGTGTCACTGGCACAATTCCTCATCCAAAGGACAAACTAAGCCCACTTACAGCTAGAAATGTAATGAAAATGGGGAAGTTCTAATTGCTTTCCTCTTATAACACTGATATTGACTGCACCAACTCTTTTCAAGTGAGATTTTCTTGAAGCTGAATGTGGTCAATAATAGTGTGAGAATCTTTCCCCTGTTTTAACCTGGTTGTAACTCTGCAGCAAGAGAGCAAAGATGCAAAGGTTCTTTGCCTACCTTTCCTCTTCAGTACACTGCGTTATTTCATTTTCTCCAAGCCTCTTGTGAGGGCAGTAATGAATTCCTGTTAGTGTTTACTAATGTAAATTCATTCTTTGTTATCCCTGGGAGAGGAGGATTAGCAAAATGACAGAACTTATTATTTCTGGTATTGCTATATGATATTTATCTTTATTCAGCCCTTAATTTTGTGGTATGTCCCACTAAATAAAATATATATGTGCACACAAGCAAAAACTAAGGGAGAATTTTTAGCATAATGTACAGAAATATAGTTATGATCCCTATTAACATTCAGAAGTGTTGTACAGCTTTATTCTTGCATGCTGTATTAAAAAAATTAATCTAAATCTGAAATAACTTCTAATTTGGAGGAAGAAAGGAATTACAACTTCAATTTCATTTTCCTGAAATGAAAGCAGCTCCCTTGGACTAAAGATGTGCATATTTTTAGGACTGGCTAAAAATTATGACCTGTGCAGTTATTTTACTCTACTAGGAATGCATTTGGTATCTCCTTAAAGGAACTTTAGTGGTTAGAATGAAGTTTATAAAGTATACAAAGAACATTTTAGTAAAGAAAGGTCGTAAAGGACCTATCTTTGAATAAATAGACCATCCAAACTCCCATCTCAGCCATAAGTGAAATTTAGAGAGCGAGGCATTTACAGCGGTTGTCCTCCTTTTCACAGAGATGAGGAGAAAGTGAGACCATGAAAAAGACACAGACACAGAGCTTAAAATGATCTCAGTGTGTGAGTTACACACAAACAGCCACATTCAGGTCAACCAGACTGTACACGTGGAGAAGTTATTCCCACACAAGAACAGCTCGGACCCACGGCATCAATATACTGAGACCTCTTGCCTTGGAGTTAAATGGCCACTCTGAGCAGCAGCATCTCTAAACCAGAAAATCCTCTCCCACATCTCTGTGCCTCTTCCAGAGGACTCAGCTTCTCCTTTCCAGGCTGCAGAGATCCATGCTTTCCATTCCCATGGTTCCCAGATAAACTCCTATTCCCAGTAATATGGTGGCTGCCACAGGAAATTAATGAACTGAGTTATTCTATTATGAATAAATGCAACCCATTCACTAGAGACCAAGTTTAGAGTTAAAATATATTACCCTGTGGCTTGATAAAGTGCCTGATAGAGGGATAACATTCCCAAAGCTACAGGCTGCCAAAGGTCTTTTGGAAATGCTTAGAAAAGTCCCGAATCCCTTGGTCTGGTATCAAGGGAACCTCAGTTAATTTTACAGGCTCATGTTTCAGATCTGTCTAATTCAGTCTCAGAATTAAGCCATTGTGCAAAAAAAAAAAAAAAAAGAGGGAGTTTCAAGCTTTCCACCTTACCAGATAACTTTCTTTGCTAAAAATAAAAGGCAATGAAGATTTCTCTTTTCTCAGGGGCGGTTTGCTCAAAATTCCATTAAAACTGAAGCTTAACTGAGATTTCTCCATCTTCAGCACGTTTGCCTCCTTGTGTTTGTACCATTGGTAACTATTTGGCCTGCTGCCAGAAACAGGACTGAAAGTGCCTTTTCCAGGCCATTGTAATTTGGCAAAATAAACATTCTTCCATTCTTACTGCAATACAACTTCTCCCTTGTAACTACAGATCTGCTCTGACTTTTAATACCCACCACACACAGACAGCTTTCCTCGTGCAAGACAACTCACAGGCAGACAAGTTGAAGCTGCTGCCCTAAGGAGCTCACAGTATTTATGATTTATCTGAATTTATCTGCAGAGCCTTCCAAAAGCAAAGTATGCTTAACATTCTTCGTGGCTGTCCCCTCCTACAACCAGAAATGCTGATAGAAATGAAGTCCAAAGAAATTCTATGTTCAAAATATTTGTGTGGAAGTAGAGGAATCTAGAGCAGCGTTCTAGAAGTCAACACCCACATATAAAATGAGACACAATGCTGTGCTTTATAACCAGTTTAACACAATAGTGTGCTTTAGAAATTATTTAAACATTTTAAAATTGCATTAGAATTCTGATCTTGATTTAGAGATAAAATCATGGGATTCGAATTTCGAAATGCGCACAAGAAACCTGAATTTCACTGGAACACTGAATTATTTGCTCTGAAGATATAAAAAACCCCTCACAAATCTAACTTCTGTTATGCAGTGCTACAAATCACATGGAAAGGATGGAATTAATTGACTTCTAGGTTACTCTTAAGTAACTTGGATTAGAATCTGACCAAGAAAAGTTCACTCACGATTCGGTTTTTGCCACAGATTTGTAACTACGGTGTAATGAGAGAAGAACATGCCCTACCTGGCCATCCATTGTCAATGTAAGGTTTAATGAGTTCTCCAAGATTTGTGTTGTCTGCAACAGCTTCCTTTAGCAGTTGCCCACAGCAAACTAACAGGAAGGAAGAACAAAAAAGACACAAGGTTAAATTTTAAAAAGGAAGCAACAAAGAAAAGAAAAGAAAAAAAAAAAAACAACAACCAGAAGCTGCATACTGGGATAAGGTCACTGAATAAAACAAAAGTTGTGTGGTTTTTGGGTTTGTTGTTGGGATTTATTTTTTTTTTTGGCCAAGCAGAGCGAAAAGCAAAGAGAGAGAGAATATTGAATAAAAAAGAAAAGAATATGTTTGGCAAAGAATGTATTAAAAATGGAGATAGAGAGATAGACATTAATCAAAAATGTTTCTGAAATAATAACTCAGGGGATTTCCAGTGGTTTTCACTTTTTATAAACTTGTAATTACTGAATAAAGTTACACCTGCTGAACAGTGTCTGAACCACACTGCTGGAGGTGCAGATAATGCACAGTTCAAGGAAGGGACTCCCTGGATCACTTAATGATCATGTAAGAATTACATTTAAAAAGCTGTGCTAATGCAATATTATCATTGACTTCAAATACACAGAGCACCAGGAGATGCAGATTTAAAGTTTTAGCCTTGTACATGAAATATTGTTACTTTGGGCTTGGACAGCACGTGGTGACCCAAGTGATTGAGTCCCACCTGCCCCACACAGGTCAGATCCAACAGAGTCTTGTTTTCCAGAGAGGGAACCAAGGCATGGAAGGTTACACAAATCAGGGCTTTGACTCAGTTTTGGGAAGTATTATTTTACATTCACTCTGTACATTATTGCATGATCCCATCTATTAATAATCCTAATTTGATTCCACCTTTCCTGAAGTCAAAAGCACCAACATGCACCGACTTTAAAGGGAAAAGATTGAGCCCTTTCATCTGCTTCACCACTGCTAATCACAGTTTAGCAAACAAGAACATTCCACAGCCACACTCCTGGGACTAAGCTCATAAAGTTTAATGTTTAAGTCACTATTTTAACTGTCACTAGTGGAGAAGCAAATTTATATTCACAATAAATAGCGTAAAAAGATAACAGAAACTCAAGTGCATAGATCCCAATTTAAGATCTAATATGTACACACCTAAATTCAATCCAATTCACATGATATTTAAACATAAGTTTAAATTTTTAAGCCTGTGCTTCAATCCCAATGGCTTAATTGGAAATAAAGGGGGATTTATTTAGTATACATCGAACAAACACTAATGAAACAAACTTGCTTTTTTTAACTAAGAGGATATGACTAATCAGCAAATTTTACAAATATTAGACATTGGTTTAAAATAATTTATAGCTATTCCACTATTAGAAGATGTTACAGAGCACTTAAAATACTGCACCAGTCCTATAACCAAGCTGCACACTCATATTACAGAAGTTTGTAACATTTGCATGCTAACCATGAACAAATCTCATTCAGAATTGTTTGGGCCTCTTTTACAAAAGAAAGAGAATGTATTTTTCACTAATTCCTTCATTTTCTCACATGTTACTTCAGATGTGCAGAACCTGAGTATTTAATAAAGTTCAGAGTAAATTCTATTTTAAAAGTGCCCCAGTTTTGGTCAGACAGCTGAAACTGCAAAGACATTACTGGTAATCCACTGATCCACAGAAGAATTCAGAGCACTACAGGAATCTAACAATGGGAAAATACGGATCTAAGGGGTATAAAAATGATGAAATGATGACTAAAAAAATGTTAGAGCTGGTTTGTCACAGCACATACGCTTGGTTTATACTTCTTCATTCAAATACTTTTTACTTCTCTCGAAAACCTGACATCCATAGCAAGGGACAGACAGAGACATTTTACGAGCAAGTAAGAAAGACAGCAAAAGATAAATGATCAAAACCAGAGGAAGGGGGAATTGAGCAAAGTGCATATTTACTGAGAACTTACTGTTGACAACACCGTATTTCTGAGCTATTAGTGCTGCCTGCAGGCTCTTCCCACTGCCTGGGGGGCCACAAAAGATGATCCGTGGGGTAAAGGGGGCGGCTGATCTGTGCCGTGTCTGGACATAGGTAAGAACTGGAAGATGAGAGAAAGGCAAGAAATACAGTTTTCAGCCTATTTCTTAAAAAAAAAAATAAATTCATTAACTTCTCTCTTCTTTAAAAAAAGGTTGTCATGTTGATCGTGATTTAATCACTGAAACATCCAGACATGCAACCAAAATAAAACTGTCCCATCAGCAACTTACTCTGAGAGGCATTTTAGAAATCTTACCATCGTTACACTCCTCTGCTTTCTTTCATCAGTAGCTGTGAAACCATTTTAAAGAGCAGATTCAATTAATAATTGCTCCTTTACCATCTTGTTTTTAGCAGAAGTAATTTTTGCTTGATAGCTGCAATTTTACCATGCAAATTATAGAGGGCTATGATTACATTTAATACTTTCTGCAGTTTCTGAACAAATATTTAAGTGTAAAAACTCAGGATGTTAAATTAATGACATTTATCCAGCTGTGTGTGATTAGGACTCCTAATTACAGCACTGTGGACTTGTAGCACAGGGTATCACAACACAGCACTGACAACACAGAGTATCTATGGTTTTTTCTTTTGTCCATCACTTTTGTGTAATATGCAAAGAATGTTTGAGCTTCTCTGTCTGATTCCACTCATTTGCTGGGCATCATTCACCTGAATTTTGTATCATGCAGGAAATAGAACCTTCAGGTCAATGTGCAGATTATGAGAGCTTTGGAAAGGCCACAGGATATGTGAAGCAGCATCAATGTTCCCATATTATAGAGATCTGAACGTTGTTACAATCTCAAAACAGTAACTGAGAGATCACTAAGAAGCCAAAAGATGTCACAGCTTGGCAGTGAGGACAAATTGGGATTGAATTTGGACATGGCCAAACACTCTCACTCCTTGTGCCCATTTTGTGGCCAACAGTACTAGAGGAGGAGCAGCTCAAGCTGCAGCCTCACTCAGTTTTTGTTGGATCTTCAGTTCCAATAAAAGATACTCCAAAGAGTCCCTGTAATAAAACAGTATTTTAGTTTAAGTAATAAGACAAGCTTGTTTGTCTGAATCAGAGGCCCATTTAAAAAAAAAAAAAAACACAAAAGGGTTGGTGGAGAACATCCCGAGGGATCAGTATTTTAACTGGTCAACACATTGCTCTCAGTTTTTCTGAGAACCTTTTCTTTGGTATCACTAAAAAAATCTTTTCTAATGAAGAATGATCTCCAGCAAACTCCAGCCTGCAATTTCTACAGAGCAGACCTAAAGCATTGAGAAACTCAAACTGCAACCCCATGGGATCATATTCCATCATATCCCATCATATCTTCCTGCAGTGCCACAAGCTGTGCTGGGATCCCACACCACCAACTGAATTTGATGTCACATCTCCTTGCACAGGGTAGCAGCAACTGCACTGAACTTTACAAAATGTTATAATCATGTGAAACAATCCACAATATTACTAATATTTATGAGAGATCTCCTCTGTCTTTTTTATCTCTTGCTGGAGCAATAGAAATACTCAACAAAAACGCCTGGAAAATCATAACAGAAAATAGTGTGTGTGCTGCATAACTTCCTAAAACCCAAGTATCAGCTACCCAAGCAGTGCTCCAGTTATTCTGAACATTTTCCATAACCCAGTGTATTGAAAAGCACAAACATTACAGGCAAAGCACCCTGCTTACAAATGATGCTTAATTTGCAGTAAATAACCAAGTTAATTAGGAGTAATGATCCCCTAGACAGTCTCCACATCTAATTATTCTTTAAAAAAAAAATCTGGCTGCTTGATGCACCGCAGAAAAAAAGATCTAGAGAGGATTTTTTCATTCCAGTTTTCAATTTATCTCACTACATTATTAATTAATAATAATTAATATTCAGGCACTCGCATTTTTATTTACAATTCAAGGCATGAATTCTTTATGAATGATGATATGAACTTTTAAATTTAATTAAGTAATTTAGAGGTAATTAATGTGTAAATTCAGAATATAAACTTCCTACTTGTTTATCTTAAAAGTGCAGCACTCGTTATTAAAAAAAAAGACCTTTTTGAGATGCAAAATTACTGGGATATAACAGATCATCTGCAGACTGACAGCTACAAAGTACATCATCAGTTGGTCTTTCTGGCAGTTTCCTTATTCTCTTCTAGAAGGATCAGCATTAGAAGTCAGATTGCATTACAGTCAAGCAAAGCAAACAAGAATTGTTGAACAGAAAAGCCACCAGCACGAACAGCTTTTAAACAATGAAATGTTACTGGCTTTGAACTACTTCTGCTTCTTGTTATCAGACTTTGGAAGGTACCAGCCCTTTGGGAGATCAGCAATCTCCCTTTTAGAGGGAGACCCACAGAAATAACGGTGGCACTTGCTCGCCCGAGCCCGCTGTTCCTTGGCAGGGCTGTGCAACTCAGGCTTTCCAGTGATCTGCACTTACTCCAGTCCTGTAAAATAATTACCAGGAACAGCCCAAATGCTGCACTAGAGAGAACACAACCCAGCTGGGAGCCATCTGTGTTGACTAATCCTACAAAGTGTCTCTAACAGCCGGGAACTACCTTTCCAACAGGACTTTCCCAACTGTCAGATTTGCCGTGAAGTCCATATTTACCCTGGGAGAGCACATCCACGGAAGGCTGGTCTGCATTGATCGACTTCAGAACTTTCTGGTAGATCTGGAAAACCTCAGGGAAGTTTCTGTGATATTCCAGCAGTTTCTTGGACACCTCTTGTTCAGACAGATCCTCTGGTTTCACCAGCCGCTCCTGTACCAGGGGATCACTCGGCCAGTCGAAGGTTGTGTGATAAACCTCTGCAAGTCAGATTGGGAACTAAGAGTGTGACTTAACAGGTCTCTAGCTAGAGAATGCCCCTCCTAATTCCCCTCCTAAAACACTCAACTCGATTTTTTTACTGAGCAACATCAGAATTTTATTTTGTGATGGATGATTGATAATAAAACTCGATAGATGATACAGAGCAAAATCTGTTTGACAGTGATTTAATGGAAGATACCTAAAAGCATATCTGCACCTCAGAAACAAAACAGGACCTGGCAGAGATGCACAGCAAAATTCTAAGCTCAAATGGACAGATTTAACCTTCAAATATTCTGTACTGCCATAGTCTGCTGTTTGCAGGTTGAATACTGAGCTTTACATTTCCCTGTATTTTATTGACACTGAAAATAATGCAACATCAACAAATACTGTTTTCAAACAGTTTTAAATTTATAATTAGAAATTCCTACTAATTCTTAAAGGGATACCATTTAAATTTTAATCCCATTAATACAGCAATGATTTTGAGACCACGTAACACTCCAGTTTGTAGTGGAGATCAGGAACAAACACATACAGCACCTTGTGTGAGGGGATCAAGCCTTTTCCCACTGTTCCTCTCAATCAACACGGTGTCTGAAGCATAAAGCATAACTAGGCAGCAAAAAATGAAAAAAGAAGAAAGAAGAAAAAAACTGTAGCTCTTGTTAGTTACTTGTTTTATTTCCTGTAACTGTTTAAATGTGTCCTAATATTAAAGGTGGCTGAATGCCCTTAAAGCAGATTTGCCTCATTCTTATTTCCCAGTATTCTCCCTGCAAATATTTTAATTCACTTTTAATCAGAATTTCGCTTCACCTACTAGACAATATAGTGGGATAAAATATCCATGACCCATGAGCATTGGCTGTGCCTTCTATCCCTACCAATTAACAACTGTCTCTGGAGCCTGGGACAGAAATACCACAGAGCACTTGGGACTGATTCTCTTCTATACCACAAACCACTACTTTTCACCCAGGTGCTGTGGTAGTGAGACCAGTGAAACTTATTTTTTTATAACCTCACAGAAAAGTGTTCAAACTTGATTAGAAGCATCAAAAGATGGAGCATCTGTCAGCTCCCTGGGTTGCTTTTGGCTAATCATCCTCGCAGTTAAACACTGTAATTTAATTACTATTTCCAGTGCATTTGATTATTGTTTCAAACAAGTTCTTTTTATGATTTTCTTCTCTGTATCAAATAGCTCTTTCAGGCACTTTTCTCCCTATTAAGGTACTCACACATCATAAATCTCATCTCCTCTCAATCTTCTTTTTGATTAACTAGACAGACTGAGCTTTAAGATTCTCATTCAGGTCTTGGTGGCACAGATATAATTGTGAGCAAAACTCAACTTCAAATGTTATTAGGTATATTAAAAATACATGCAAGTACTAGACATTAAACATTTTTGCCCAACTCTATTGCAGCGATTCTGAATTCTTCATTAACAGTCAAATATCATCCAAATCAAATCCAAAGTGACAATTCATCAAGTTGGATAACGTTCTGTTCAGTGTGCACTGGCAAGCTCTACATTTATCATTTCACACTGTATTCCACACAACTGTAATGATTTCTTACATTCTCAGTAGGTCCTTTAACTATATTAATTTGGGACAAGTGGCTTCTCCTACGTGGCAAGGGCAGCTGTCAAGGTCTTGTCTATCAGGAAACAAACGTTCTGTCCAAATCAAGGCAGAATCTACCCTTACTCTGAAAGGTCAGGCTTAAAATCACGATGTTTCCACTTGGTCAAGTTTATATTCTCTAATTCAACAGAAACGTGAATTTGTATTTCAGTACATGAGGAATTGATTTAATCTGAGGATAAAGGCTGGTTTTTAGAGATGGAAGTCGGAAGCAAAGCTACTTGTAGCTGCTCAGAGGCACTGCAGGGTCTTGGATTCACAGAACTCTGATGTGTAAGAAGAAAAAGGTTCCTGTGTGAAAGGGTTTAAAGTCTCACAAGTTATCTCAGGTTTCCAAGTGAATCTGAACCATTCTGAAATATTCCGCTGTCTGGTGACTCTGGTGTCCCAGCACCACTATTGGATTTATTGAGGATTTTTTGGGACAAATGCTTCCAGTCTTTCCTACTGGATGCAATCACACATAAACCTTGTGCTGCTTACCAACATGTCTAGGAAAGATGCCAAAGGATTGCAGCATCCATGCCTGTTCCTGATTTTCAGGGAAGCCTTCCAAAATCCATCCCTATTGAACAAAAACATGAAACAGTTATTGATCCTGGAAGAGAAAAAAAATCAAAGATTAATACTAAATATCAGTGCTGTTTGCACAAAAATTACCTCATTCTCATCCCACAACAGCACAGGATTTCTCATGGATGCTTGTGAGAAAAGAAAGCAAACATGGAGCACTGATATTTTTGTGAAATGCATGCACTGATACCAGTGCCACAGAGCAAGGGGAACTTAGGGGTTGCAGCAGTGATTTTTTTTTCCTCCACGTTTCGATCTTAAAAAAAAAAGCAAACCAACTTCTATCTTGAATAAAAACAGCCCAAAACAATTTCTACAGTTTTGAAATATTCAAAAGGATATCAGCCCACACTGTGTATATAAAAAAAAAAAAAAAAGAAGCTAAACAAATCTAAAGACAGATTTAATGCCAAGAACACTGAGGAAAATATGCACGCTTTCATTATTTTCTTAAATTATACAGGAAAACTCACAGTAATGGAACCAGCGTTCCCAGAGCTAATGAAGCAACAGAGCAAAAGAAAGAAAAAAGAAAAAAGAGCCTTTTGCTCCCTTAAGTCCTTGTTATAGCCAGCTAAGTGTTGGATTGAGCATCTTTAAAAAAACATTTACAGATCTGTGAAATACCGTAGGAGAGCTGCTGCCTCACTCAGTTTTTGTCTGATGCAGTATTTGAAATCTAATCCACTTCCCAGTCTCAAGCCTGAATCTTCTGAACTTTCCCTAATTTATCTGTTAGTTGCTTGACCACACATATCCTTGTTCTATGCTATACCCCAAAAGGACTTTGGGGTACTACAATACATCTGGGAGCCATCTTTGCACCGAAATAAAGGCAATATTTTAATATTGCATTAGCTGGCAATCATTATCATCTCCACACAAATCTGATGCTCTGTCAGTGTGGAGTCCAAGGTATTTCAGGGAAACATATCTCCACAACTTCTGGAGGAGGGAATGGGCCATTCCAATTACTCAGGAAAACAGAGTAGACTATTTAAAATCCCTTAATTAGCCCGGTTTCAGGAACGTGTCATCCTGCTGATACCTGTAGAAAATAAGAGACTCAAGTAACTGCAAGGCATTTTTGCCACTCCCAGTGTTTGCTCTGCCGAATTGGAATGAACCACTGGCTAAGGTCACACAGGTGCTGAGAAATCAATTTATCCCCTGGGACTTGCAGGAGGCAAAGCTGCACAATATTTGTACTGGTGTGCTCAGAACTTCAGCACTAGTTTGGAATATATTGTGTACAAAATAGATATATATATATATATAGGCCCAGTTCTTCTTCTAGGGAGAAATGGCATCTGAGGTCTGAAGCAAATAAATTGATGCCAATTTACAGACTACAAATGTGGCTTATTTTCTCCACCCCAACAGCAACACTTTTGGAGACTAAAACAAAACAAATGAAAAAAAAACACCAAACAAAAAACACCCACAGAACCTGATGTCACCACTGCTTATTGCTCAAATCACATAATGTGCAACAGGCAGTGAACACAATATTGCATTTTAACAATCCACAGCAAACTTCTAGAGGTTTATATACAAATTTCAAAGGCAACAAGCAACTTTATAGGTAAAAGTTTTTTCTGTTTAGGAAAACATAGCTCAATAAATAGCTTCCTGCAACAAATACATCTTAGGGCATTAAACAAATGCAAAATAAACACACAGCGCAAAAATAGTGAGCATTTTGGAGCTGATTTCCAAAGGTCTCTGAGTTCCAGGGTATCAGTCAGTCCCTAATTAGAATACATTATCCATCTACTTGACACTTCAGTGAAATGTCTATTCCACCACAGAGCTGCAGCTTTGTTCAGAACAGGTTTATTGATATTCTGCTGCATTCCCTCTCCATACCCCCAGTGGCTTGGTTCTGTTTTATCACACATCAAAAAGGCCGTATGCTCAGGGCACCCCATGCACGGCTCAGAGCTGGAGGTCTGAACAGCTGCAAGTAGTGTGGTATCACAGGAGGGACAAGCTCCAAGCAGATGTCACAGATAAAAAAAAAAAAAAGGGAAAAAAAAAAGAGGGAAAAAAAAAGAGTGAAAAGGGAGTGTGGCTTGGGAACGAAGCAAGAGGAAGCGAGACACAGCAGAGCAAGACCTGACTTAAAATATGCCTATCATGCTTTATGCAAACACTGGTCTTTTTTGTCCTCCTGACTATCATTAAAGTGTAATTAGTAACTTCACATGGTAAATTTGTTTCTTTAAGAAGCCATCTATTTTTTGTTCTTGATAGCAGTGACCTCACAGCCACGCACGGGTGGCACCTCATCACACCAAGGGTGGAACAAAGGCTAAAAGTGAGTCATTCCATGGTGCCTTTACTCTGTGGCCACTGTTCCCTCTCCTTCAGCTGGAAACTTCCATCCTTTCCCACATTAAATAGCACATTCTGCTGCTGCCTTAAAGCCAGGTGAGGTGATCCTTGGAGACCCAGGCCATGCTGAAAAAATCAGCAACAAGGAAGCACTTTCAAAGGCATCACTCTCCTCTCCAGATCTCAGGAATCTGGAGAAAAGGAAATGCTCAAGGTCACTCCCAAATGTACATCTCCCTCCTTTGCTGGGAGTACTCTCAGCTATAATACCAAGCCTACAACTTTCACACTTTCCACCACAATAATAATGACTTGGGTATTCAAGTTCTCTCTTGTTATTTGACCTGTACATCCTCCAGAGTTTTTTTTAATTACAAAATCCAAAACTGACAGTGCCTTTGAATAATGAGAAGGGATAGCACACAGAAATAATGCTGAATTACGTGGCATGTCTGAAACAAATCTCAGCCACAAGCCTAAAGATCAAAGGTCATGAATACATTACTTTTAGGAAAACAATCACAACAATTTTCCCACATCATTATTCAGTGGTTTTGAATAAGTATTACATGGTTTTCACTTCCAGCTGGAGAAAGGGGGCAGACAATAACACAAAAATATATCAGTAATAGCTTTGCCAGTATGGATGTAAAATTCTGGAGATTTTCAGACCTCAGCAGACTGAGGAGTGCAGTAGAAATATGGTCACCCCAGCTCCTGCAGTGTGGATGATGGAAGAAGCTCAAGCCTTACTAGAAAGAAACCTTTTATCCTCCACATTATTTTTGTTGTTTGAGCAAGATGCAAAGCTATTTTTAAAAGTCCCATTCTTGTCAGAAAGCAGAAAAGAGGGTGAACGGGCAGATTCTCTCCCCAGATAAATCTGTTTAACATCATATTCTTTGCACGGAGTTTCACAGAGACAACATGATGATCTTCAGCTACCAAGGTAAAACCAAGAACCACCAAGAGCCATTGCTTTTCTCTGCCTTCCCTTTCAAGGACAGCCACTGCTCTTCTGGACTGTTTAATACCCCTCTAAAGTCATTCTGCCTCTTGTTTTGTGTGAAGCACTGGCCTAAGATTAGCTTCTAAAGATCCTAAGACTCCAGGAAGGTGGCCCAGCTCTCTCTCAAATATATCCTCTAGCAATCTTTTCACTGGCTTTCTCCAGTTCCATGAATTCCCTGCACAATCCCAGCAGTCAGAGGGGCTGCAGCCAACCTGTACAACTCTGGAAGAAGAAAAGTCTCCATATCAGCTTCACAGGTCCCATAATGTTTGCAATAAGTTTTCTGGGTGTGCTGGAAAACCTCCCCATCTGATGCCTCGCAGTCCTGACCACATTTGTGTTAGAAGAACACATAACACAGAGTCCCAGCAGAGCTGTTGATCAATAAGAATGTTCTCCTCAGAGAATGCCTGTGACATCCATAAACCTGGGAGTGTCAAAACAACGGCACAAAAAATCCTGTGTTCCTACTGTCAGTGGGATGAAAGCTGTACAATTAATGCCAAGCCAATGACACCACAAGGAGAAATAAAACAAACAGCTGGTGGTAGTGTGGTCCAACACACTCCTAATCTATTAACATTCTCAGTAAAAACATGCTGACTCACATTTTGAAAGAAATGGCATAAATCTGTTCAAATGATGTAAAAAATCCACAGCATTAATTCTATTTTGAATCACAAAAGGAAAATATTGCAATTCAAATGCATAGATCCCCTTTTGAATGAGAAAGACAAACACAAATTACAATCTGTTAATGTACAGATTTTTAATAACCATCACACCTTTGGAAAACCAATTATGTGGTTTTCCTAAAAACAGCTGAAACCTTAACCAGATTGATAACATCCACTCCATTCTTGCTGAATGTCAGGGAAGCTTTATAAAGGTTTATTCCCCCCTAGTTGTGTAAGACATCCAGCTCTGATTCAGTGCTGCTGGTGATAACAACAGGAACATAAAATGTAGGCAGGGCTCTATGCAGCTGTTGGCATTTTAACCAGCTTGTCACCTTACTCAGATTTTTACATGACCTAATACTTAAAATAACTCACTGGGAGATCCTCCCCTCACTATTGACAGGAGAACTAGAGCCATGCCAACAATTATAGAAAGCATGGAGCAAAAAACCATGGGGTGGATGCAGCCTTTGGAAAGCAATGGAAATTAGCTGTTGAAAACATACATTTTTTTTGATCAGGTAAAGAGACTTATGGGGAAAATAACTTGGAGAGGTTTTAGAGCTGTTATAAAAGCCCTAAACTGAAGAGTTATTCACCTACTTGCTAGTTTACAACACCTCCTGCCATTCAGCAGCTCTCCTCCAGAGAGTATTAGGGGACAGATTGCCCCAGCAACTCCTACCTGTGAGAGAGCACGTGAGAAAATATTTAACCAAACTACTGAAAATAACAGGGAACCTTCCCTGTCCTACCTGCTACAAGCACAACCAGAGGAGCTGTTTGTGTTCACCTGAGGGGTCTGACACCACCCAAAGCCTGGCAGTCAGGAAAGCAGCTCCTGTCTTAGTTTATCATCTTCCTAACTTGCTCTCATTTCTACAGGTTTAGAGATATTTTAAACATCCTCACTCGAGGACAAGTATCACCTGAGATCGATGTTGCACATCTTGCCCCAAGGACAAGGTAGTAAATCACACAGTCACCTGACTTGCTGTATATCCATGATATCTCATTGCACTGCCTGCATAAAAAATGTTGACATTCATAGTCATTTTTTTGCTGCTCATTTGCTGGTATATCCAGAGTTGACAATATTGGTTTCTACAGCTACACTCTTTAATCCAAAATACCACAAAAATGAACAAGACAGTACACCACATGTGTGTTTTTAAACAGGCTCTCCTGCCAACTGAAGGGCCTAAGTCCTGTGTGAATTTATTGCAGAGAAACAAATATACCAAGTACTACCATATATTTGATCTGGCTGCTAAGTAACTGTAATGAGTCAAAATAAAATAAAACAGCTCAGCTAAAAAGACCTTCAAGAGAAACCAGACTGACCCATATAATTCAAGCACAGTGACTAGCAATGCAAAAGTTTAATTCCACTTTGTAAATTTAAAATTAATAGACCAATTATGGAGTAAGGGATGCAGTATTTTGTGAAGAAAAACTGATACCCCTTAGGTTTTCTGCCAATCCCTTCACTCCTTTCTTTCTAAGGATCCAAGAAATCATTGTTTCAGTCTCCCAGGTGATGAAGCACGGAGCAAGAAACACAGGATTCTAAATCACACCAAAAAATGGTCCACTTGGAAAAGAAGGGCGGGGGGGTCATGTCCTTCTACATAATGTACTGGAACGTTCTTCCAGTGCAGGAAGGGAACCTCAAAACAACAGCTTGGTTTGGTTTAGCTTAATCATTTTTTCAGTAACACTAAAAACCAGCAGGCAGCATTAAAAGTTAAATTCTCATGCAACCAGTGGCTTAGATATTGGCATAGGTCAAGGTTTTAGAACTATTACTAGTTCTAAAACTGCTGTTTAAAGAGAGCAGCAGCTGCCCCTGGCTACAGCTCCGTGCTCTCAACAGAGATGTGACATGGACACAGAGATGTCTTCCAGCAAACCTCTCCAGCAGGAAATGTAAGAGATCACACCTCCAGATATTCATGACCATCCTGACCAAGTTCTCCTTTCCACAGTTCACACACAGTGACTCTGATCCAGCTTACACAAGGCAGGTCCAATGTAAGACACCTTCACCACTGGCTTAGGATAAGACAGTTGCCTTTGCACCGAGGCACAGGAATCTTTGGCAACCACTTGTGTCATCAGAGTTCTGAAAGCTGAAACCTTCAATCAGGTGCAGAATTTTTTTTACTTATTCTTGCTAGTTTTGTTGATGTTTCCCTGTACCTGCAAACACTTCTGCACTACAGAATTACCATCCCAAAAACTACAAGGCAGTGGCCCAGCCCTTTAGATGATTTTGTTTTGTGGATGGAAGGATCCAGCCTGCAGATCATTGCAGACTGCACCAAAAATCACAGAGACAGAAGCAGAAGACATGAAGCTTTCAGCATTTCCACCTTCTTTCAGTGTCTAATGCTAAGAAACTTCAGGGAGAAATTTTCACACTTCAATGAAATGTTAATTACCTGCCCTGCTTTATTCCACTGACAAGGTGGATGTTGATGATGATGTTGAGAAGCATCAGATTTTATTATAAAACTCTGAGCCTGGCAGTATCTGCATGAGGTGAGGAAGTTCTACCTGTCCCCTGACTCAAAGGGGTGTTACAGTGCCTGCTCTGAAAACATGGACTATTGATGAGAAAAAAGCTGTTTAGTCCTTCATGAACACAACACCTACTTTGGACTGGACTTTTTCCTCTCAAGAAGTGCATCAAATAATGTGCAATCCTTATTTTGGCATGTTTACAAACAGGGTTTTACCCATGAGGTTGTTATATCTCTTGCAAATAATCCCTTATAATGGGCTGACTATAAACTCCATAAACCACAACAACATCTGAGATTTTAAAGAAAACACATAAAAATGATTTTGCTTTCCTTGAGTCCAGACATTAAATTCAACCAGCATCAGTCTACTGAAGTTCTCTGTGTTAAAAGTCTCTACTTACATCAAGGGTAAGCATGCAGGAGAAAAAAAAAAAGCCACACATCTGAATACAGCTAAACCTATTCAGTTGCCTATTTGTATAAGCTAAGAGTGAACATATTAATTAATACCTAGAATATATTCAAATGCAGTTTTTCCTAACACAGGAAGAAAAAAAGAGGACACAATGAGAAATAAATAAAATTAAAATGAGTAACGCCAGACTCTTTTCCCCCCCCTTTCCTCAATAAGAGTTAAAACCTCAACATATTGATTTTTGTATATTTTCTGTTTATCTGTTTTGTCCACTCTATCTCTGCCAGTTGCCCCAGGCAATCAACAAAGCTCTGCTTGTTCAGCCTTTGATCATCTCTGTGCTGGAAGATTAGCATATGCATACTCTCATCCTCCCCTTTATCCTGTTAATAAAGCTCCAAACTCCCTCCGCTGATGTTCAAGAAAGCAACCGGCTCCAGAGCCCCCGATGATTTGCCCCCATTCCCTGCTCTGCTCAGGACTAGGAATGCTAACTACTGCACGAGTTGTGTAAGTGCTTATCCACCGGCCCTCTGAGGAGCAATTCTTACTTGTTTGATGCAGTCCACGTTTGACAGACGTTCCTGGATCAGATTGGCCCAAAGCGCGTTGGGAATTTTCTAAAGAAAGAACAAAAAAAGGCTGAATATTCACAATTGAGTTCAAAAGGAATTTTACCATGCAGGCACATTCTGGTTAAAGGTGAAGTGAGATGTCTTCTTAAAAATAAAGAAATAAATAATTCAGCGTAAGCCCCGGGTCATTAACATGAGTTAATGACAAAGAGTTAATAAGGGCACAAAAATCAGTGTTAAAGGCAAGCTGAACACAGAGCAGGAACATCCATGGGGTTTTTTGCATGCTAACATGGAAGCAGTGACAAGTTTTACACACTAACACACAAATGGGCATGAGACCTGCAAAATCCATAAGAATATCACATCCATAAGTTGTCCTTTTTACCACAAGTGTCTGATCCATGACTGTGTCAGTGGGCTCAGCATCAGGGATCTTGCCAGCTATCAGTGAGACAAAGAGGATCTCAGACACTGAGCAAACAACACAAAGAGTCTGATCTTCAGGTTTGTTTCATCTTTTCAAGTAACTCTCTCATCATCCAGAAAGTTTATTTAAAATGTATTTTATAGTTAAAGATAGCTTATTTTTAAACTCAGGACTGCGAAAGGGGATGGAAACTGCATTTGCCAATATTCTCAGAAGTGCTGTTTAGCTCTGTGATTCCTACTTTGTCCATATCTAGAGATGTTTTGTAAGGCAGTATTTTCTATGAAACAGAAGAACAAAGTTCCTCTACAGATTTAACACCTCCCCAACACTTCTGTTGTATTAGACTTCCTGGCAAATTAGCAACAGTCTCATTTTGTCATTATTGAATGAACACTCAGAAAAAAAAACCTGCAACCAGATTTTCTACCTCCCAGTTAAAATAAATTATCTTTCACTAAACAATGTGAGCTTTACTCTTTGTTTCCTGCAGTTCCACATATTGTAGATTCTCTTTTTTTTTTTTTTCCTAACCAAAGTCTGAAGGGCATACACCCAAAAAGGAGCATTTCTGTAGGCTTGTGTTATTCTAACAGAGGTAGAGATATAATGACAATGTGGTTGACTATGAGGAAAGATTTAATAAAATCTTCTTTATTGCATCATGAGATAATTTCACCAGGAGTGGTGGAAGTGCTACCACAGAAGTCGCTTTAAACAAGGATGGAGGAAACAGTCCAGAACACACAAAAGAGGCCAGTGTGGCACAGACAAAGTGGCCCAGCCAGGCAGAGGGTTTGCTTGGTTTGTTTAGCTCTGCTGTCCCCAGTTCTCAGTGCCTCTCCTCATATCAGCCATTCATAAGGCAACTTTCAAGCAGGTAAAAGAGAAAAAGGGAAGGAAATTGCTGTGTTTCTTGGAAGTCAGCAGGTCCCAGAGGGTGGAGTGTCAGAGCCTCCTGCAGCCCCTCCCTGCTGGAGCTGGGCCCGTGCCTTTGAGCCTGTCACCTTCCAAAGGGGCCCCACGCTGCTCCCAGGAACAGCCAGTGCCTCCCTCCCTTCTTTCATGTGTCATGTCAAGGCAGGCTGGAGGCTGCTGGGGGTCCTCTCTGCTAAGCCTTGCCAAACCAATTTAAACCAAAATGAGACGAACTTCTTTCAGTGCAGTGGTGTTCTCAGTCCTCTCTTTGGAGTTTATTGCACACAAACAACCAAGGACACGCGTTCAGGTGTTTCAGTGGTTTAGCTCCTTCTGCTCTCTGTGGCTCAATTCCAGTCTCATTTCCTGGGCAGTTTTCCTCCCACTGAGCAGTGGCCTACAAAATCATTTTCAAGGGGTTGCTTGCAGAATGCCTAATTATTCAACTGGAAATCGTTCTCTCTGATACCTGTGATAGCCCATTTATAATTTCTCTCTCATAAACACATAAATACATCGTGAGCCTGGTGGATGGGACTGCACCTCCCAGAAATCTGCAATAAGGGACAATGACACACATTTGATTAACAGCCAAAGCACACCTTGCCTGCAGCACTCAGAGCTGTCCCAACATTCAGCTCAGGTAAAGGACACACCTGCTGCTGTGGGATTTTGTTTATGTTCAGACCACTTTTCTATACACACAGTTTCCATATTGCTGAAAAACTGAACTCACTCATGATTAATTTTAAATATCCCATGTTAGTTCAGGGACATCATACTTCAACTTCCACGCCTGATCTACCCAGAGTTATATCTCAATGATCTTTTCATAAAACTTTCACCCTTTTTTTTTGTGGGGGAGCACTTTCACTGGACTTTTTCTTGGAAGTTTTGGATATATTCGCTCTGAAAACAGCTACAGCTAAAAACTACTGACTTCTCCAAGTTAGCACCTTGGAGAGAACAGCAATCAGGTGTCAAGAAATTGGGTTTAGTATTCTCAGAATCGTGAATGGTTAGATTTAATTTGTTCAGATAATACACATGAAAGGCTGGGCTTTTATGGATACACAAAACTAAAACAGTTCCTATTTGTTCCTTCATAACAGCGTACCCTGGAATAGATTGGAATGCTGACCATGCCTAGATAAGGATGCCTTGGGTTTTTCTCTCTTAAAAAGCACAGGGACATGATGCAACTCTAGAGCAGTTTTAAGTTATTAAGGACTATGCAAACACCTCAGCTGCAATTTAGTGTAGCATTAAAAGCACACCCATCCCCCAAACTCACAATTACCACAGTTGTTTCAACTTCTTATTTTATCCAGTTAACAGGAAAAGTGAAACATGAAATAGCTCATCATTAGACTTCACTATAGGAAAACCTGAAGATGCTTCCTATTAACATTATAATAACTAGAGATGAGGGAATAATTTGCAATGATTTATCTAAAAATGTAGCCTCTTTTTCTGTTCATGGAATATTTATTGATAGCCTGTGGTTCCTGAATATTCCAAAAATATTTGACTTCTTTTTGGAGCATTTTTATGTGCAGAATGATCCCATTTTACTTTGAACAGTCAATATTTAAAATTCACTACCTGAGCTGTGCTCATTAGGAAGTGGCCAGGTGTGTGTGGGTGAATGATTGCATGTCCAACTTGAAAAATTGAGCTTCAGGGAATAATCACCTATTTTAAATGTGCCTTCCATGAATCCTTGTGCCAGGAAAACCCAAATGCTTTAATGCTTGCTGTGAGCGAACACAAAAGAGATGAAAGCTTGGCTAAAGATAAGTGGGTAAAATATGTGAACAAACATTTGCAGAGCTTTTTGCAGCATTTGCCCAGATCTGGTAACATTGGCCTACTGACCTAGAACTGCCTGACCTTTGGCACTGGGGTTAATTCAGCCCCAGTAACTTTATACGTGTGAAACGACATTAAATTGTGTTATATGAGCTTCACACCAGACTTTCAAAAAACACAGCCTCAATTCCTGCTTTTCCTCTTCCCCATTTATTAAATTGCTTTGGCCAGGACTCCCAACTTTTTAATGCCCTGGTTGTATCAAAGGTGGTGTAAACAGCTATTGTTCTGTTCCTGAAAAGAGATCCAAACCTATTAGTGCTAATGGATGCTCCGTGTGCTGGAGGAATCATTTACCACTTGCTTCAGCAGAACCAGGGCTCAGTTACAGCAACAGGAGATTCAGGCAGCAGCCAAGAATCAGGAAGGGAAAATACAGCTCTTGAGATGACAATTTGGCCACATTTTAAGTCACTGTAAAGCTTGCATTGATTTAGAGGAAGCAAGGAGTTCCCTCCTAGTTCCAGGAGTTATGTTTGAAGAAATAAACTCATATGAAAGAACAAAATTACTTAGCCAAAATGTTTTTCTAGACTCTAAATCTCAAAACTAAAGGCAGACTGCACAGTGCTGAACCACCACCAGGCTCTTTGGGCCCTCCTCACTACCTGATTAGCCTTGACATTTTTGACTTTCATCTTCCACACCATCCATCTTTTTAAATCAAATAAGCCCAAAAGGACACCCTTGAAAGTGCATCTGTATAGTCTGAAATATGTTAATAATTACAGTAATTAAACCAAAGGGAATTTTTGTTTTAAATTCTCCCCCTCCAAGTATAAATTTATGAACCTATCAAAACAATCTTTAATAATTAGCAAGAAGATTTCAAAGTACATATTCTCGATAAGAATAATTCTGTATCATCCCAGCCAAATGCAAACCCTTTTGCCAGTGAGTTTAGTGAGTTCAATGAATTCTTTCCTCTCAGATCTTGAAGTATATTACTTGAGCCATCTCCAAACTTCATTCACTAATTCAGTGTGATAAGATTACCCTATTTCCAGCCCAATTTTCTAAGGAAAAAACCCTAATCTATGTATCACACTGTCTGCCATCTCAGTAAATTATGAATCTGTTGGCCAATTCCAATCTTAAATTGGATTTAGCACGGGTGTAGAATTCTCACAGATATGAAATTGCTTCAATTTTTATGAAAATAGGTGATGAGGGAGAAAAGATATTCAAACTAGAGGGCTTGCTAGAAGGAGTCCCCAAAAACCAGACTTCTTCCACTTTATTTCTCATAGAACACCTTGACATGTGGAGGAAGAAATCAGCTAAAAGGGCAGGAGTCAGTAGCAGAGATGCTTCTCTGTATTCGACATATTTTTCCCATCTACTTGTCACTAATTTTTAATCAGGACACCTGGAAAAAACTGTTCTTTGGACCAATTGCTTTGAACATCAATTAGGAGGCCCACAGTGAAGCACAAAAGGATTTAAAAAGCTGTCTGGAGCAAACACAGTACCTGGAGCTGGGTAGAACTGAACAATCTGAGTAGCTGCTCTTGCCTCAGTTTGAGAGCTCCAAGGGCTGTCAGTCACTGCCTGGATTGTCACACTCCTTTGGAGCTAATGCACCAAGTAAGTTATTTGTGTCATGCTACAGAGAAATCAAGCATGCACAACTAAGTAGCACTGTCAGATCAAAAAAAGTTCTTTGTGTACATATTTTCCAGAGCATTTTGTACCAAAGGAGACCTGGGAGATTAATGCTTATTTTATCAAGATTATCAAACATGCTCAGATAGAAGGCTCTGTGTTTAATGACAGAAGGAACCATTCTGTAAATTGTATTGTGCACTCCTGGACTTATCCCAGTTCTGTTGCTTATTTCAAGGTTAATTTTTCAAGGTCTTCATTACTTGACATTGTCTTCCTCTCCTTCTATGCCCTGACACACTTCTCTTTGTTCGTATCTTATCCAGCAGAGCTCACCCTTCTCTGAAAGGCCCTGTACCTACACGTACACAAATGTACAAACTGCCACAGACAGAGGAGTATTTACTCTCATCTGATCAACTCATAGCAGTGGAAAATCACGGGAATGCCACATAATTCCTGTTGTGTGACATGAGAACAGCTGTTATTGTATTCTCTTACACACCTGATTTTTTTCTTTATGTGCCTTTGCTTCCTCCGTCAGCGCTAATGTTTCGTTGAATAACAAAGTCTCCTGAGAGACACGTATGGCATCAAAATGTTTACTAAGCCACATTGCCTGAGGGAAGAAAAGAAATACAGGTTGAAGTATTTGGAAAGAAAATGAAGCATTTTTTTCAGAAGGCTGCAGGAAGACAGAGCTTTCCCAGCCATTCATTTAAGGGGACGGACTTTATGTGCAGGTTTAAGTGGTTTCTTATAAAGGTGTTCAAGAGTTTACAGCTTTGAATAAGGGCTTTTTCATCTCCTGCCCCATAACACAGAATTTAAAGAAAGAAGTATTCTCCCTAGCATCACACCCCACCATCACCTGCAGTTTCTGTGGTCAGTTTTCTCTGTGGTTCAAATACAACTCTGACATTTGCAATTAAGGGGTGCCGGTGGACATGAGACAAGTGACCATTCAAATGGAGAAACCCACAACAAGGGAACACCACAAATGTGTAATTACAGTGCTTCTCACAGGTTAATTAGCCCTGCTAAAACAAAGCAGGCAGAATTCTGTTGCATTCCAGCAGTATCACTACCACTACCTCAGTGAGCTCTTGCAGAGCTCATTTAAATATTTCCATTTAATCTGCAGTGTAAGGTACAGGTGTCTCCCTCAGGAATGCCACCCTTCAATTTGCCTTGTGCTCTTCTATCACTCAGATAAATCTGAAAATTATTTTTCCAGAATAAAGTTTACACAAATGTTGAGCTCAGTGCAATGTAAAGAGTGAGCAGTGTTACAACACTGAATTAGGCTACTTACAACTGTAGTTTTCCCAGAAGCAGGTGGACCAAGTATACAAATTTTTGGAGCTGTGAAACAAGGATATGTCAATGTTAAGATGCAGAACAGCAAAGATCCCAACCAGTTTCTCACTATTGCATTGCATAATATCAGTGTAGTCACAATGAAACAATTATTTCAGAGGGAAAGCTGCCTCAACGGAGGCTTCAGGACTGGGCTCTGCTGGGGAAAAGAAGAGGGGAACAGTAAGACAGTGCCAGCTGGGTCCTCCTTTAATCCCCATGGTCAATGAGATTAACACTCTGACTAACTCTGCCATTTGGAGAGATATGTGAGATCTATATATTTCAATCCATCCAAACACACGGAGAGTTTAGTGGTTGAACCCGAGCATAAGATACTGACATTTCCTTACCTGAGTCTGACTTTTATTCCCAAAGCAGTTACTTAGAACAAACATATTTTGTGATGAAAAATTATTTCCCATTTTAGTTTCACCTAAATAGGTTGTGTCAGGGTTCAGAGGAGATTTAGACACTGCAAAACGAAGCACGCTCTCGCTACGCTTTTTGACAGCTGCCTTCACATTTTCTAGTCATCCTTAAAAGCAATTTCCCTCATTTCTGCTTCTTGTGTTTCTCTACTGCATATCCCTTTTCCTTCTCTGAGGGGGAAAGCTGCAAAAACTGCATGCCAGTTCTGAGGAATTCTTAATCCAATGCATACAGACAACACAAAAGGCATTACCTTCATAAGCTTCGTTGGGAACGAATTGGAGCCAAGACAAGAGAAAAAGGAGTAATTGTTAGAAAAGCATTTGGAACTTTTTCCAGAAATACACCTTGGGCTGCGACTCCTTGAGCTGTTGTTTTATATTAACAGCTTTGATGTTTTTTTCCCTCTACACCACAGGAAAAAAAAAAAAAACAAACCAAACCAGATTATCTACAGGAGGGACTGGTTAGTATTTACTGGGAGTAACGTAGGTCAAAGCAGAGGAGGGATCTACTCACCCAAAAAACCTCTTCAGCTCTCAATAACCAAGGGAGATGGTGTCTGATGGTTACAGACAGGCAAGGATGTGAAATGTATTTTTATGAGGCCTTCCAGGCACTTAACAGTTATTGGGCAGGTGCAATTTTTAAACATACATGAAACCCAAATTACGGATTCATCTTTACAAAGTTATCTGACTTGGAAGGTTTAAGAACAACTCCCCCCTTATTGGTTCTTGCAAATGCAACAGAACTAGTACACAATGTAGAAAAATACTTTAAAAGGATACATCAGCTGTTTTTATCACCTAATTTCTTTCAAATGTAATGTGATTAAATCCTAGGGTTTTTTTAAAATCTAACACCTTGAAACTCCAGCCCGGTACTTAGGAATTATTTATAAACAGCGTCATAAAAGAGTGCTCGGGTGCCAACACTAATCAACTTCTTCAAACCACTTCAAAGAAAATCAAAAAACCTTTCCATCCACAGATCCTTTTGAGGTTTAACTAGGAGCATGATTTAAAATTCACAAGAAAGCCCTTAGGTATTGAAGCTTTAATACACAGCTTTCTTGGACAAACGTTTGATAAAAAACGAAACATACCATTATATACACCATCTCATGCTTTAATATTGCCCAGGGCTACTGTAAATGCTCACTTTGTACTAAATCTGGTTTTCTCTCTGCTTAGTGGCTGGCAGCAGATGGGGCAGTGTAATTCACTGATTTACTCATTTGCACACTTGTAAGACTCCTCTAAAGCTTTCTCCCCAAACATATGACACGAGGGCACAACCAGGACACGATGTCACGTTTAACCCCCTCCAATCAACAAAGAGTCAGTGTTTAATACCAGAGATCTGAAGCAGCAGCCAAATGAAGTCAGGAAATTCCAGGAAATGCCTTTGTCTTCAGTAACAAATCATATCTCATTCTGTGTTTAGTCCCGATGAGATGTTACAGGATTTACTCTTCCAAGCAAAGTAACTTTTAACATTCAACAGCGATTTTATCAACAACAAAATTAATCCTGGTATAATGCACAATAACAGCTGGACTCAGTGACTTCCATTTAAATCCAAAAGATTTTATTATTAATATTAACGCAACGAAATTTGTTCAACTTGTAAGAGAAGCCCTTTGTCAAACAGAAGCACATGGTACATGCTGAACAGTCTTGCAGAATTTTATAACATTCCTTCAGAAGTTTGGCTGTAAAGGAAGAACTCACAGAAACGCCTCTTGGATCCTGAAAGCTCCTTTTCATTAGCACAAACCGAGACACCGTGTAGAAAACTTGCATCTCTGAATGTGAAAGAATTATCAGCCTTTATGTGGCCCTTTAAGGTTTTTAGAAGGAACACATAAAAGAACAATAGTGCAGAGCCCTGAGCACAAGCACTTTGCCACCCATTTGACCTAGGAGGTTTTCAAGGCAGGTGAAAGCCATAATCATCATTAGACTTGTTTATATTTTTAAAAGTACTTTAGATTCTATTATTAATTAAAAAGGTTTTCTAACTTCACACCTGGGATAGATGCAATGCCTCTTTTCCACACATCTCTGTTTGAAATTTTCTCTAGGGCTAAAACTGTCTGGCAAGGCAAGATCATGAAAATTCATCACTCTCCTGATGGCTCTAATAAGGTTTTTTTTTTCTTCTAAATAGTCAGCACCTTCCACCATGATCAAAAAGTAAAAGCAACTCTGCTACACATTTCTGTTACATTATTTTCCATATAATTTATTCTTAAAACAACATTTAGGCTTTAATTTTAATTGGAGTTCCTCTCCTTCCTTAGTAGGTTTTTCCAGCCCAAGAGCAGACAGCATTTTCCCTTTGACAAACAGCTGCTGTAGTTCTATCTTTAGCCTCTAAGTACTGAAGTCCTGAAATGGAAACCTGCCTAATTCTGTTTGAATAATACTGAGGGGCTTAGGGACAAATGTAAGCTCAATGTGGAGAAATTTTATCAGCATTCTATCAAACAACATGAAATTCTTCCACATATTTTCCATGGGTCTCTAAACTCAGATTGATTCCTCATGCTGCTGCATCAGAAAAGGCTGGGAACAATTGGCAGGATTTGGTTTCTTTTTTTTTTTTTAATGTATTTAGCAGCATTTCAATCAACATCCACCTGATCAGCAGCACTAAGAGCTCACAGCACCTCCAGTGATCACGAGTTCATTGATGCTGCAGCAGAACTTTCATAATGGTTTTACTCTGGTTTTAAAGAAACATCAAAGCCACATGACACCAGCTCTCCCTGACAGCTCACGCAGAACAAAAATTAGAGTTCACTTGTGCATATCCAAATATAATCTGCCTAAGGGTGAACAGTTTGTAAATCAAATAATTTGATTGAGGGTACAAGCTTTTATTGTGCAGAATACAGACTTCCTCTTCACTTTACCAGGTTTTGTTACACACAGGAGCAGACACACTCACTGTTCCTTCAGCTGAGATGCCACTGAGCACTGGAACTCATTAACAGCAGCCAGTAACGAACTAATCAAAACACAGAGAATCTGCCAGCCCAGGTAGAATAGGAAACCAAATTTACACCTGACAAAAGGAGTAATTAGCGAGCTTAAAGACAACAGGAAATATCAGATGGGGCACAGAAGGCATTAATAATTGATACACCAGAACTCTTTGTTATTCCCTTAGAGGGTTTCATTGTTATAACTGTTAAAGTGCATTTTTTATTAGATTACCCACTAAAAAAAAAAAAAGAAACTGAAAGCATCTTGCCTATAACTATTCCAAAATGCTCACCAGTCTTGTTTGTTCCCCCCTCCTCAGTCTGAAAAGTTTTATCCATCACCTGCCAAGCGCAGCAGTTTCCAGCAGCTGTTTACAAATAAGGGATTGAACTATTTATGGTGTCTCAATTTTCACTCACCATCGTCGTTGTTTTGCTTCAAATGGTTTATCATGAACTCAATGGGATCATCTGGCTTATGAATTAATAGCTCTTCAAGCATGTTCTGAAAATAAATAGGACAGAGTCAGAGGAGAATTTAACAGCGCTGCAGTCATGGTATCCTGCATTTTTACAGCATTGTTACAATGAGGACCTTATGCAGCTTATAAATGCTTATTTGTTTTCTTTCACAGGCAAAATTGAGACTCCAGAGCCTGTTTTAGATGCTGAAAAAATGAAGATGGTCAGAAAACTGCCAGTAAAAAAAAAAAAATCCCAACCTGTTTGCTTTGGCTTATTTGTGGTGCATATGGACACCAGGAAGGTTTGACTCGAGCAGTTTGGGGTTGACAGTGGCTGAGTCAGAGCTGACATAAAAACCATACAAGGAGAGGTAACTTGCCACTGATTTTGGGGAGGATTGTGGCTTTCCAGGCAGAGAAAGGACTAACCCTGAGAAACACCAACCCCACAGATTCCCCAGTAAGACATTTCAGCACAGCCATGAACTCTGTAACTAAATCTAAACATCAAACAGAACTAATGTTCTGACTCAGATAAGCTGCAGAAATGCTCACACTGGAATAGACATCTAGTTCTAAAAAGCAGCCATAACACTTTAATATTTGGAAGTAAATCCCATAAAGTCTGTATATTCCATAAAGTTTTATATCCTCACCAATTGATTGTCTTTTATTGGAGTAGCCTATTTTCCTTTTCAACTTCCTCCACTTCATTGAAATAATTAAACCACTCAATTTTTTTTTTTATAAACTGTTTCACTTGCAAGTTCTGATGCTTCAATGTCTGAGTAGCAAAAAACCATAAAAATTATATATTTTTTGAGTTCATTTAAAATTACTTCCCAGCAACACTTATTTAAACATAAATCTGGATTTGGCACTGCACTTATCAGCAGCTTTAAAAATAACAAACCTGAGCAAATCTGGGCTTATTACTGTTCAAAAAAGTTCAGGCTGACAGTGACTGACACTGTCACTGTTTCTTGCCCAAATCCTACCTTCAAATCCTTCATTTTATGCAGTCCTGCTAAACTCAGTTTAATTTCACATGAGTAGTTCTGTGAATCTCTGGGGGAGGTTCATGTTTTGGGTCCCATGTTTTAGCTTTCACATTTTGTGTTTTGTAAATGTTTAAAGTTCAGGACAACAATTTCGAGCTATGTTTGTTTGTGTCACTAAGTTGCCACAACACAACTGAAGTACGAAAGGAAAACAAGACTCTGAGTCAGTCCCATAAACATTTTATGTGCAGTGAGGTCCTGGAGCTGCAAAACACAGTATTTCCACAAATATTATGCTACACTGGCCATACTAAATAGCTTTAGTTACACGAAAAAAACAAAGAGGATAAAAAAAAGATGAGGCAAGAAAAATAAACAAACATTTGTGTGTATTTCAGTGAGGTCTGAACAAGTAAAAAGGACTTTCTAACAGAATTATGGGTTAGCAGCACACAGGGACAGTCTCTCTCTGTCAGAGACAAACAACACCAGAATATTTAGTCCCTTGCACAAACCTCCCCATGCACGACACAAGGGCTTTCCCCAAACTTACAGAACAAAACACACCTTTCCCTAAGGCAGGGAAACCAAATTTGCTATTTACTGAAATCCCAGCGACGCTGGAAGTGCTCTTCTGTTCCTTTATCTGTGACACATCTCACCGAGCAGCCTCAGCAGGAGAGGGGTTTAACGGGATGACGCTAATGAGGAGGTGGTGACTCTGACAAAGGCAAAACCGTCATCGCCGTTCTTCCCGCACTTAATTTGTTATTAATTTGTTATTGTCTCTCCCTCTCTTCCTCTCCCTCCTCCTCCTGCCAAGCCCGCCTCGCCTTTCACAGACTCCTTTTTTCCCACTGGCTGCCACTTTTTTCTCCCCAAAACACGCCAGGTATGAACGGCAGCAACTGCCAATTAATATAATTAACTAAGAGGGCGCTCGGCCGCTTCCCGCACAGGGGGACACCCCCGCGTTGAGCTCCCACAGCAGCCGGCACAGGGCGCTCGCCGGTGCCTTCACCGCCCCCCCTGGGCCGTCGCCACTCACCTGCAGGAGCTGGAAGAGCCCCCGCACCGTCCCCGCTCACCTGCAGGAGCTGAAAGAGCCCCCGCACCGTCCCCGCTCACCTGCAGGATCTGGAAGAGCCCCTGCACCGTCCCCGCTCACCTGCAGGATCTGGAAGAGCCCCCGCACCGTCCCCGCTCACCTGCAGGAGCTGAAAGAGCTCCCGCACCGTCCCCGCTCACCTGCAGGATCTGGAAGAGCCCCTGCTCCTCCGCGTAGGTGCCCACGGGCGGCGGCCACAGCTGGGCCGGGTCCTCCATGGCCGCCTCCGCCATGGCCGCCCCTGGCAACGCGACGCGTTGCTAAGGATACGTCATCACCGCGCGACGGGGCCGCGACGGCCGCCTCGTTAACCGCACCGGGAAGGCTGAAGAAACGTCATCGAGCGGCGACGGTTGCCAGGGAGACGGCGTCGCGGTTGCCGTGGCAACGGCGGGGCGGAGGGCCCGCGGTCACCGCCGTCACCCCGGCCAGTCCCCACATCCTGGCCCCTCCCGGGGAGCCGCCGCACCGCCCCCGCCCGCACACCGGCCGGTAGGAGCCGCAGGGCTGGCTGGGCGGCCGCGGAGCGGAGGGAAGGGGCTGCGGGGTGTCCGGCGGGCGGGGCTGCGGGCGAGGCCCCCACCGGAGCTTCGGATCCTTCCCCACCGTCACAGTCAGGAGGGGCAGGTTAAGCACGGCCCCTGCGGCCGGCCCCGGTTAGCGGGGGAGGTTTGGAGCCGCTCGGGCAGTGGTTTCAGGGCGGTAAGAGGAGCCCCGGCTCCCCCCGCGGTGATGCATCGCCGCGTTGTCTTTACAACAGACCCACTCGGGTTTATGGCAGCCCATTGTCAGCGCTCCCCTCTGGGCTCTCCGCCTCTCTCTGCAGCATCATTACTCACTGGCTTACTGCCTGGGGCTCTGGGGTTGCACAGTTTTCACACAATATATCTTCTCTTTTTGCCTCTTTTTACTTTTCTTTTTTTTCCCCGAAGTTTTTCCCCAACCTACACGATTGCAGCTCAGGTGAGGGAGTTACATACGTAGAACCACACCATTTCTAAAAAGCAGCTTCCTTTCTCTCCTTCTCTCCTCGAATCCAGAAATAAGTAAACATGAATGAGGTAGTGGAGACTCTAAGAAACATAGAGCAGAACTACAAGATCTTCCAGCAGCAGCAGTTTACATTTACCAGAGCATTGGATCACACCCGAGAGGAGGCCCATGACTTGCTCAGACCTGTGGCCAGCATCGTGCAGGTACAAAGTATCCAGCACAAAATACTCTGCTCCCCAGAACAGGGACAACACAGTGTCAGGTCAGGGATGAATAAATGTTTTTACCAAGGGAAAATGGACAAAAACTCCCTGGTAATGTTTGTTACAACTCTGCAAACCAGTGGCAAAATCTGGGGAGAGAAATATCTGTGTGAGGGTTTAACACAGAAGGAATCTTATTCCTGAGCATCACTTTCAATTTAGTTTAACACTAAATTAAACCGGTTTAGTTTAACACTGTCATTGTGCTGCTGAGGCACAGCCAGAAATACAGGGCACAAGAAAACAATCAAACCAACTCTCCTTCCCCAGCCACTCATGGAATCTGTAATCCTTAACTTGGAGGAACCAGCAGGCTTGGCTCTTCCCCCTGGTATTGGTGCTGCTGTATCTTTCTATAGTGCTTATTAAAAATAATGGCTGTGTTACAGAGGGAGGATGATGGATTGAGGGTTGAGAGTCCCAAGTGGGCACAGGGTTTTCTGGGCTGGTAAGTGAATTGTCTTGGAATTTTTATAACACGGGATGTTTTAAGTAGAGCTTAGACCACCTGGAGACAGGGGGGGATAGTGGGTGAAGAAAAATCTGAATAAAATCAGAATTGTGGATTTGAGGCAGCAGAACCCAGGCACAAAACTCAGGTGGATGCCAAAGGCAGAGTGAAGGCCAGGCTGTTATTAGGATTAGGACACAGAAGGAGCTGGTTGTGTTTTCTAAGGGCTGACTCTCTCTAATATAAGGGCTTTGCTCATTGCATGGAAGAGGATTGGGACAGACATTACACTGAGCTATTTTTTTCCCCCAAAAATAGGCATTGAGATGTATAACGTTATAAAAGTGGCAATATTCCAGTGGTACTGAGCAAGCCTGGACTCCACTTCTTGGCAGAGGTGGAAGGGCTGCTTGTGGTAGAGGGTGAAACCTCTGGGTGTGACCTCAGAATTACAGGGATCCACAGCATCCTCTGTGACACAGCAACATGGGAACTGCAGCCCTGGGGGTCCAGCCACCTCATCCCAGGGGGAGGATGGGAAAGGGAAAAGAGCAAATTACCAGGAAAAACAGGAAGCAATTGGTGCAGCATGTATTTGAGCAGGAACTGAACTGCTACCAAAAAACGTCCCTGGTGACAAAAGCAGGCACCCATTTTACCCAGTGCCATTCTCCCTGTTTTTAATTTGTCATGGGGGGGCACAAGAATAAAAGCAACAAACACAGAAATATGTGTGGTCTCAGCCTACAGCTGACTTGACTGGCAGCTTTCTTTGCATGGAAACTACAGGAAAAATGAGATTCCACTTGAACATGGCTAAATTCCCACCCCCTCGAGCTTTTTGTGGCAGCATTTTTAGAGTGGAGTGATGACATTCCTTAGAGAAAAGAGGAGAGCATAGGAAGGTGGAAAGGTGGAAGTGCACACCACAGTCACACAATAGCAACAGCTTCTTGAAGATTTCTACATGGAGTAGGACACAAAGTCAAACCCCAAGTGGTTTTGTGGGACCAGCTCCTCAATTTTTGCTTCAGCCAGATCCTCAAATCCCCCAGGGCGTCCCTGCCTGCAGAGTCTGGCTGTGGTCAGGACCTTGCAAGTGGTTTTGTAGTCCTGTCCCTGTCCTGGTCACTCAGGTGCATTAACTCCCTGTTGTCGATGTGGCCAACAACAATTCCTCTTATCCCATCTGTGAACATCCAGACTAAAATGATACTCTCATTAGGACTATTTCTGCTCACAGCAGCAGTAAAAACTCTTGCCACTCACAAGGACACAACACTCAGCAAACAGTGTGGAAGGAGGAATCCGTGCTGGAAATGGACCCTCAGGAGAAATTTTTTATTTTCCTTACAAACCTGCTGAGAATTTGGCCAAGCACATTCCATGGCTTTTCTGTATGCAGCAGCTGTACCCACGTTGGAACAGCTTTCTTGGAATCTTACAGAAAGCACTGGAGGTGCTGGAGTCCAGCTCTGGCTGCCAACCAGCCACTCAGAATTTTACATTCTGAAGTGCCTGTAATTTCCTTGGAGAAGATACTTAATCCCTTGGCATAACATTTCCTCGTGCAATGCCCCTCGCTCTGAGTGACACAACTGCTCAAGGCAAGAGGGGATTGGCATTGCTATAACAGGCTGGGGAGGGTGGTTTAGATTAAATGGGTTGGGTTTGCAGTTCATGGTGCCACAGAGAGAACCATGAAGAATGAATGATGCAAACACATCACCCCAAACCAGAACCAGTTTGGTTGCTGCCCTCACTTCCCACCTTGCTCTGCCCAAGCAGAGGGAGCAGACAGATCCCACTCACATTCAGCCTGTTCCTCTGGTGCTGGGTTTGGCTGTGGTACTCCTACCCTTCTTCCAGAAGTGAGAAAGACTCGCAAACAGTTCCCTCACCTCAGCCTTCCTCAGTCACCAGGAATGACAAACAAACATCCCACAGCGCCTCACACCTGCAGAGCCACAAGAGAAAACGGCTCCTCATCACTGAGGAGCAACTTTGCAGCAGAAGTTAGATGCAATTTAACATCTAATCTACCTCTGTTTCCTCCCACGGACAGGTGCAGGTCCTCAAGGACCAACACTGCATCAGTGCCACCGACAGGCGCATCCTCAACATGTTCATCTCCATCTGCAACGACCTCCGCAACCTCTGCCAGAAGCTGGAAACGGTGCATCCCGGGGACCAGGTGACCAACGGCCTTTTGGAGAGGTGCAAAGTGCTCCTGAACGACAGCAATGACCTCAGTGCCATCAGGGCCACGTAGGTGTTTCCTTCAGCTCAGCCTCTGGGACTCCACTCTTGGTGCCGGGAGACTGGCACTGCACATTCCCACTGGACTTCCCCACCAGTTCTGCCACAACACCTTCCTGGCTTTGGTGAGGGTACAAGGTGCTCCCCAGGTTGCTGTTGGGAAACCACTGCCAGCCTCCATTCACAAAAAGGGGGTTGAGTGCATTTATTCATCATTTTTACTGGTGCATGGCCGGGCATTTACAGGCCCTGAAGTCCCATGCGAGGTCATGACCTTGTAAGTTGTCCCTCTAGTCCTGATCCCTGTTCTGGTTACTCAGGTGCATTAACCTGAGTAACCCCAGGCAGGTCCCCTCCTCTCTCCTCCTATTCCTCCCCTCCACAGGGCTAATTTCTGTGGGGTAAGTGTCTGTACATTCTCTCAACGTCTTCCAGATGCATCCCAGCAGGCAGGGTGGTGTGTTTGGCAGGACTCATTCCTCAACATGCAGTTCCACCCATGCCTTTCTGGTTTTGGGAAATGACTGGCTGTGCAATCCTGCTCTTCCCAGGGGGATCTCAGGGAGGGCCTGTGGGCTCCCAGGGTTGCACTGCTGGGTTCCTCTGCCAATTGTTTCCTTCTGTCCCACAGATACCCCCACGGTGTTGTGAATTACCTGAGCTTTGAAGAAGCAAGGCATACTTACGGAGGTGTGGTGAGCCTCATCCCCATCGTCATAGACCACCTGAAGGAGTGGGTAACCTACACTAAAAGGCACCTGCTGCATCAAGTGAGTCATGGACGTGGCATCTCCAAGAAGGAGGCACCCACTTCCCAAAAACCATCTTCTGTGCGCTTTGCAGCCCACACCTCCGTTAGTAACAAAAATACTGTGCAATTGCAGGAAAAGGATTTCCAGAAGTTCCTGCTTGAAAATCAACGTCCGAAACAAAAAGCTCCCTGGAGGCCACCGGGCAAACACCCCTATTGAAGGATCACACCTTCTGCTTACCACCTTTAGTCAGCTGGCTGATTAAAGACAGTGAAATGCATACTAGAGATCTGCCCTGAGTCCACTTCCTGAAGAGTTGCTCTGCCAGCCAGCCTGGGACAGACGCACACTCTCTCCCTTGCTGATATTTCCAGTCAAAGTCATATCCTGACAGAAGTAGCTGCAGCTACACCTGGTCCATGGGACCAGCACTGCAGCGGGAGCAGGGAATAGTCAAGAGTCATCAGGTTGTAATCCCTCAGACATGAATCTTGGACAAGCTACCTGAAATGGGATTTTACACTTTCTGAGGAACATCCCCTCACTCGCCACAGCCAGCGGGGTGAAGAACCTGAGTGTCTGAAGGACATGACCCAGAGCACCAAAGGCCTGTTATTATGGATTCAGACATGTCTTTGAGATTTAGACTTGTCCCCAAAATTCCCTCACCCTCACTGAAATTGTTTGGCTTTCTGGACCCCAGGATCCATGTGTACAGGACACTGATGTGTCTCCTGTACATGCCACTGGCCACAGAGGTCAGTGTGCTCCAGCCGTGCTCTGCTCCACCTTTCCTGCAGGTTCTACACCACAGAACATCTCCCCTTGACCTGTTTGACTCCTTTGCTATCAAAGCCAGAGATGTAAAGGAAAGCAGAGTTCAGTTTGCCCCTAGTTTGTGTGTACTGACACAAAACACCCCTGTGCTCCTCAGGCCTCTGCAAAACTGAAAGTCATTTCCAACCCAAGTGATTCGTTGGAATCTGGTGGGAACAGAGAGGGTGAAAGCTGTGGCCACGTTCAGATGGTTCCTTTTAAAACTGCAAGTTAAACTGTCTGTGCTTTCCCTTTTTCAAGATGAGAATCCAGCTTGTCTGGCTCTCAAGGATGTCAGGAGGCTCAGTTCATTAAAACATGTGAAATATGTCTTCATACCAGCTTTCATACCAGCCCTTGGCAACTCCAGCACAGTTTATCCCAGTGCTGGAAGCACCTCTCATTCCAGCCTGCTCTGGGAGGGTCAGCAGAGCCCCGTTCTCTGGAGCTGATAGAGGTTTTTAGGGTGCTTTTAATCAAGCACTGTTAACTACAAACTGAAGATCTGAGTGATGCAGTGTCTGCCCTGTATCTCACTGCTCTTTTCCCCTCCTGCAGGCAAATCACCTCCTGCTCTTTGCTTCCTGTTGGAAGACACTCCTGAATAAACAATTTCCCTTTGCATATCTGGCTCAGTTTGCTAAAATTATGAGAAAGCTTCTGCCTTAAGATGACCATTCTCTGGCAACAAGCAGCTAAAAAAGGAGAATTAATACAGAGGAGGGAGCATAGGGAGGAATGAGAACTCAAGGGAAGTGGGAAGTATTTTCAGCAGCATTTTTATTCCTCACATAACCCCACTTTCTTTTGCACTTTTTTCCTATCCCTATCCACTGGTACTGCAGTGCACCCAATCCTCTCTGGAGTAGAAGCCTATTTTTAGGGAGATATCCAAGTGAACTGACCCTTGGTGGACTCAAAATGGTAACGAAGGGTCACAGAGAGACTCCCGGGCACTCTTGGGGCCAAGGCCAGTGGAACGTCACCGTCACCCTCTCCGGCTGCACTTGAGAGCCCTGGTGCTGAGGCAGCTTCAGGCTGAAAAATCCCAGTTGCTGGCAGCTGCCCTGTTGTGTTTCATGTTGCAGACAAGTGTCCAATGACAGTTGCTGCCTTGGAAAGTTTTTCAGAACAAGCCCAGGCTATGAGGACTGAACGCTGACAAGTGTCAGGGACACGAGAGATGCTGCTCCCAGATCTTGTTTCCAACCTTCCTGGCTCTGTCCTATAGTTTAAATTTGAACACACACAGGCTCTGATGAGACCAAAATTATCCTCCAGTTTGTAGGTCACTTTGAGCTTCCCTGTATGAGCACAGCACAAATGGCTGGGCAGAGCTGTCCTACCAAACCCAGCCCACCACCGCTGCTCAAACCCCAGCGCAGTTGTCATTTTGCACTTGACCAAAGTGATACACAAAAGAAACAGTTCCCAAATCTTAATAATAAGATTCATACACACCTAATAAGGTGATACACACATGAAACAGTTCCCAAATCTTAATAATAATTTCTAGCCTGGCCTTATCCTTTCAGTCAGTGTCACGCAGCCAAAATTTTAAGACCCAAGCAGAAAAATGAGTGCATAAAACTTGCAGTCTGAGGTTTGATAATGACAAGACCAGAATCTGTTGGAAGACTGCAAAGTTAAGTCTCACAAAAACATCTAGACAAATTACTTAATTTCCATACAAGTTCTCCTCTTCCAGAGCGGATGGACACTTCAAAAGACAAAAAGATACAGCAAGAATTGTTTTTCTCTACTACAAATCAAGCTGTTTGAAGAATTTACATAAACAGGATGTAAATGCCAAACACAAAAGTGCAATAAAGTTTTACTTTAGCCTCTGTGAGCATAAAATTGCAAGATACACACTGAGAAACCAGGCAGGGCACCAGACTGACTTTCCTACAGATGTGTCAGTTAGTCCAGGAAATAAATGCTGCTTTTTTGTTCAAAGACTGAAATAGAGATAAGGGCTGGTAATAGATGATCTCAACAGAATCCTGGCATCTGTAGCCTATGAATTACTTCTGTGCTCCCTTTGATTCAGCTAGGGGTCAAACTAGGCTTTTTTCTACCTGGTTTAGTGGGAGATGTCCCTGCTCCCTGCAGAGGGGTTGGACTAAATGGCCCTTAAAGGTCCCTTCCAGCCCAAATCGTTCTGTGATAAAATTTTCCAAGTTAAGTATCTAGTCCCAGTGTCTCAGCATTGAGAGGATGGGGCAGAGCTCAGACCTCGAGGAGCTCAGATCAAGTGTTGGGAATGGTGGTGGACTCTTGAGGGAAGGAGAAAGGGGCGATGCAAGGGAGAGGAAACAGCATCCCAACGATGTCACCGGAGCCGATGCAGGAGGAAGGGATGGGCTTGGCAGGGCCTCTAGCGGCCGCCTCACATCACTGTCTGATTTCTGAACAGTTCCAACAATCCTGTCTCCCCAATCCTGAATCCACGAGGGCTTCTTAACACTGGCTGCAGGTATGCAGCCCTTGGCTGCAGCATTCCCGGGTGTCTCCCCGGCCGTGCAGGGCACTGCGGGGCCGCTGCTCCCGTCACAAGGAGCTGTAATTTCAGAAGAGCCATCGGCTGTTCCCTGTCACCGGCACCCTGCTCTGTCAGCTCCCACGTCATAAACACCCCGCAGGCAGCAGAGCTGTTCTCCTGGGAGTTCTGAATTCCCTCGGTGCAGCACCAGCTCAGTCAGCTGAGCACCAAGCACAGGAGGCTTCGGAGAAACCAGGAATAGCGTCTGGCAGACGGCAAAGAGCAGAGTCCAAAACTGGAGGGAGCACTTGGAGGGAAGAGGCCTTCAGGAAAAAAGGGTTTAGCCAAGTAAAGCTCACAGACACCAAAATCACGACAACCATCAGTCAAAATTGTTTCGAACAAAGTCTTGTCTGAAAAGCAAAGCCCATGTGAACGCTCTCTCAGCTTCATTTGCAAAGCTCCTGTGTATGAACAAAGTAACTCAGCTCCTGTGATTTCACAAACTATTTCATAACCACTTTTAAAATCCACCATTGTGCCAGCAGCTAAAGTAGTTCCAATAAATCAGGATCAATCAGCAAAGACAATTTAACTTCCTGAATCTGAACTATTTCCTTCCCTAATGTCTCCTGTGTGTTTATTAGCAATGCTATAAAACTACTAAGGGTACTACTTGGCATTAGTGAGGTAGGTACTTTATTCTTCTCCTTTTGTACCCTACTCAATATACTCCTGTGGGTAATTTTAATCTTTTTCTTTTTTTTTTTTTTTACACTGGCAAATGCAGCTTTGCAATGCTAGGCTTATTAAGGGATACACAAAATGGACTTAAGTAAGGTTAAGAGCAAGTCAAATTCACTTTGTGCTTTTTCATTTCACTTACCCCACGGTGTAGAACTCACCCAGTGCTGGGGGCATAAAATAACCTTCTGTATCATTTAACTCCAAGTTAATAGTTATGGTAACTTCTATATAAATTCTCCATATGCACTGTTACTAAAGTGTTTCCACATATTTAAGAATTATCCTCAGTCCTTAACTGGAATGCTGAGGTTCATGTATGGATTTCTAAATTGCTTCGAGCAACCTTTTAAATATTCATTTATTTCAAGAAAAAAACCCAACAAACAACCCACACATAAAAAACCCCCAAACCACTGAGAAAGGTGCCAGTCTGAAAAAAAGAAAACAAAACAAGAAAACAACCCTAACCTACCAGCAAAATGGTCCCAAAATTCCCCTTGGTCTGCAGAAGTGTCCTCCTGTGTGCACTGTGGCTCCTGAGCAGGGAAAAGCACAGTCAGGGACAGAGCCAGCTTCCAACAGCAGCTCCAGCTTTGCAAACAAGGCTTTGACATTTCCAGCTATTAATTTCTCTAATCACTGTGCAGTCTCTGGCCTGCAGGAAAGCAGAAAGCTCCCAGGCAGATCTGCAGCACTGAACTGTCTGCACTTAATTTATGGATTAGACTGGCACGTTGTTGGTGAGTTTGTTTGCCACAGAATTAAAAAGGCTTTGGCTCCATGCAGAAAAATGAGCTAATGATGGATCCTGTGCAAAGGAGCAGCAGCACTGACCTGCTCTGGACTGTCACAACTGGGAAGATGTCTGGCCACTGAACTTGTTTCTGCATGTTTTTGGTCCCAGAAAGGTCGGCTTGCAGGGAATTTAACGCAGAGTAGTGCAAAACAATACATTTTATTTGTTCACAGTTAAACACAAGCAACTGCCTTGACATTTTAGAACATTCTAATAAGGACAGCAAAACCTCCTTTTGGTTTAAGTTCTCTTTAGCTTACGATTGTACCATTTCCTCGTTTTTCATATTTATGGCATTTAATGTGGATTGTTTAACATGCTTACAAAGAGCGAGGCAGGGAACAGATTAACTTGACAAAGACAGCAATTTTAGATTTAACTAAAAGCAGTCAGTTAAAAAAATCTGTTTCCACTTCACTGATGGGACCCCTTCAAACAAACTGCAAGTTAACTACATACAGCAGATCCACGATTTTTAGACTTACAAAAAAAAAAAAAAAAAGAAATAATTGCAAAATTTTGTTCCTCCATAATCTTTGTGGTCCATAAACAAACCGAAAGTGGTTTCCATTACTATCCTGGTGCTAAAATCCTGTTTAAAAGAAGAATAAAGTCACCTTATCAACGAGCTTGAGTCACTGCCAGGGCGTTTTTGTAACCGACACAAAACCCACCTCTCCTCGGAACGCCGGATACACCCCCGGGCTGGGCAGGGCAGGATGGGGAATGAGCTTGTCCAGCATCCCAGCCCATCAGGGCAATGTGCAAACCGTTCCCTCCTGGGGCTGGGATCCGGTGGGGAAAGGGGCAGGAAACCTCCAAATCTTCCCGAAACACACGCTACCACGTTTGCTACCACTAAGTCTGAGAAAGGCTAAAGACATGTCGACAAAACCAGTCTGTCACTTACAACCAACTCTCTACTCTCTATTCCATGCAGAGTCAAGCTTGGACACAACCACTGAAGTTCAACCTCTACTCTCAGGGCTCCGACTGACCAACCCAAAGGACACGGAAAAATAATTTAAGACAGGCAGAAATGTATTTAGACCCTGGGTGTTACGGAAGAAGCGGAAAACGGGGGGGAAAGTCCTGTCAGGAGCAAGCCAGCACAGTGCCAGCTGCTTTGACAGCCTCGTTCCTATCAGGGTTAAGAAGGGATTTGAACTACAAATGCAAGTGTTCTTGGACTTGATTTCTATGTGAGGCAATTCCTGAACAGCAGCTGCCACCCACAGACTGTTTCAGAGGAGAGGCCACGTGTGAGGGTGACGGTGAAGCCTGATGTGTCCGAGCACACCCGGCCCCAGACACATCCAACATTCAGAACAAGCACTCTGCCTTCCTAACAGCAGGCTCTGCTCTGTCACGAAGGAGATTGAGTCTGACCACTGACAAGCCCTGATCCCAAAATCCTCCTTCACAGAAGGCTCATCACTGACTTGATTAACATCGAAAGGCTTCACACCAGGATTCTGATTCCCAGTTTGAACAGGATTCCTCCTCAGCCTTGCCTTCTGAGGAAGCAGGATGAGGGTGAAGGGCAGAGACCTAGAGCCAAACTGACATTGCTGAGCTGAAAAATGTGCTGCAGCCTGAGCAGAAGAGCACTCGAAGGAAACCATATTCTGAACGCATTCCCAGGAAGAACGAAGCCAATTCCTTGGACTCAACACACAGTGGTCTTGCTCAGACCAGGAACAAAGAGCAGAACTGTGAAGGAGGATCAGGCAGCACATTTCCCTGATTAGAGAAACAAATCCTCCTCTGCAGATCTTCATAAGCTTGCAATTCTACATCCAGGTTCTGCACGCTCTCCCTACTTCAGTAAAGCTTCCTTTTCCCTCTTCTCCCACCCCAATTGCTTTCCCATACAAACCAGTCTGAGGTCAGTAACAGTCTGTCAGGCAAACACTTAAAATACCAAGAAGATCAGAAGCTAGTGTTTTAACAAGTCTTCAGCATTTACGGTCTCTTCTGCATTACAAGCTCCAGTTCCTTTTTGTCTGTTCAAATGTAACTTTCCAGGAAATGTTAAGGACAATATAAACAGTGATCATGAATTAGGGTGAATGAATCATTTTGCAGAGGTACAGTATCTTTAAACATTTGGGTATTCAATCAGACTCCAACTTAATGAAGACTGAGGGATGTGGGACAATGGACAGGCAAAATAGAGACCCTTGGATGAATGCACTGGAAATTCTAGTGCTGCTTCTTTCCAGGATGAAAGGAACCGAAGTCACCTGGACAGGCAGCACAACCAACTGCTCTAAATTGGAAGCTTGCAAGGAAATACAAAGCATTCAGAGTAGACTCACAAATGTTAATTTGGCCTCATATTGCACTCAAGTTCATAAACGCAGCCACTCAACTGGGGACAGGGAGAAAGGGCAAAAATACTTGCAAATGCTACCAGTTGTCCCTTCAAATTAGTACACGCTGCTAAGGACTGAATTGGAGAAAGAAGCAAGAGTTAGGCTGGGCATTTCAATTCCAGACCCAAAAATCCACTTTGCATTCGTTCAGCAGCCTCCTTCCGTTCCTGGCCATCGATCCTGCTCCGCTGCATGAGCCACTGCTCAGACCAAAGAAACATAAAAGCTTTTAGTTAAACTTGCACTCACGCCTCCTGTTCTATGCCAAGAATATGAAAATAACACTGATTGACTATCTTCCTCTTTAACTGTGGTCATGATGAGTTTCATTGTAGTCCATGATATGAAGCTGTCCAACACTGCTTTCCTGGAGCTTGGGCGAGAGGCTGAGG